GGAGGCATATTACCCTTTTACTATATAGGATAGAAGCCTGGGGGCCGGCTGGTTTGCCCTGAAGGGTGTCCTGGATCAGGGGTGGGGGTCCCACTGGGGTGCCTGGCCAGCCTGGGTGAGGGGATGATGGCTGTTTCCAGCTATCACACCCCCTTCAGGGTCGGGGTCCCCACTGGTGTGCCTGGCCAGCCTGGGTGAGGGGATGATGGCTGTTTCCAGCTGATCACACCCCCTTCAGGGTGGGGGTCCCACTGGGGTGCCTGGCCAGTGTGGGTGAGGGGATGATGGCTGTTTGCAGCTGGTCACACCCCCTTCAGGGTGGGGGTCCCCACTGGGGTGACTGGCCAGCCTGGGTGAGGGGCTGAGGGCCGTTTTCAGGCTGGCGGGCGACTGAAGCTCCAAACCTCTCTTTTTCTTTTTTTTTTATTCTTGGATTTATTTACCTTCTATGGCTGTCACTGGAACTGAGAGCCGGCTTTCTCTCTGAGGCTCAGCTCCAGCTCTGAGACCTCAGCTGCTGAAAGCAGGTATCTGGTTTGTTTGGGTTCTATAATCGAAACACTGTTTCAACTCCAGCTCTGAGGCCCGGCTGGCTGAAAGCAGGTTTCTGGGGTTTTGTTTAGCTTCTTTATTTGTAACAATGTTTCTTAAACTGCAAGCTCAGAGGCCGGCAGCGGCAGGCGGGGAACGTTGGCTTCCTCCGTCACTGAAGCAAGCAAGCCTCCTGTTCGCTTCAAGCTGCCTTGCTGCCGGCCGCCATCTTGGCTGGCAGTTAATTTGCATATCGCCCTAATTAGCCAATGGGAAGGGTAGCGAAGGTACGGTTAATTACCATGTTTCTCTATTATTAGATAGGATAAAGGATGAATAAATATTTTCTGATGAAACAAGAGTAATACCTAAAAATAAGCAAAGTGTAACTTCTGATATTAATGTTTTACCATCAATTTTCTTTAGGAGTAGGAAAACTGCAGATTTCCTTTCAGCATGGTTGGGTGGCCACTTTCATGTGGTTGTAGTAGGCAAATGTGTCACCCTCCATGCATATATGATTGTTATTAGTATTGTTATAAGTTAAAAATAGTTCATAAAATGTAAACTTACTGGAATAAAAGGAAAAATTTAACCAGCAGATTTAGGAATCTAAACCATGGATTTCTCATATTTCTGCAAGCTTTGTCAGGAGGGACACTAACTATCCTAGACTATCTTAAATTTTTTTTGGTAAAAAACACATAAAACTTAGCATCTTAACCATATTTCAACACACAGCTCAGTAATGTTAAGTATATTCACATTGTTGTGCAACAGATCTTCAGAACTTTTTCATCTTGTAAAACTGAAACTATATCCATTAAGCATTAACTCCCCATTTACGCCTCCACTCTGCTAGCATCCATGAAACTGTGGCACTTGTTATCTTTCAAATAGGGTAAAATCTGAGACCCTTCACACTGAATTATAAAAGTGAAAACAGTAGTAATCCAAATACAGCTGTCTTCCATGAGAACAATATAGTTCTTTTAAAAATAGTATTTGTTTTCCAGTGTTTAATTTTTCTTTTCTTTCCATATTAGTGCTGAGTTTCATGAGCGGCTAAGTAAAATTGATAAGCTGAAGAACAGATATGAAATTCTTACTGTTGTTATGCTGCCTCCTGAAGGAGAAGAGGAGAAAACACAGGCCTATTATGTAATAAAGGTAATCGTGATCAATTTATTGTTGTGATAGAAAGAAGTATCCTTTCTTTGTTAACAACCAAAATGGCATTTTTTTCCCCATGAAATTTCAAATTTCATAGCAGTCTAGGATCCATTGCACTTAATTGGGGCCATAAAGCATTAGTTGCTAATTGAAACACTGAAGCTCTATTAGTTTTATACTCCTCCAGTCCATGAGTCAAAGAGTTCTAGAATACTGTTTGACACTTTTTTTTTTTTGGCATCTTTGCATCCTATTGTTTCCCCTCATTTATTCAAAATTCATAATTTTTTTACCCTAAAATCTACCATCACTCCTCTAGACCTTACCATCGCCTGGAGTTACACCACTTCTGAAATCTTATCCCCAAATTTACCATTGCAGTCCTGGTATGGCAGAGATCCAGAGAGTAAGAGGGGCTGTACCTTCATATTAGGTGGGGGACAAATGAACAGGTGAACCTGCTGTTCTTTCTGATGGTTGAGAGTTGTCTGCTATCTTATTCCCATTTTTCTTTGTGTAGCATCCTTACGTTTTATGCATAACACTTCACATGTACCGGATGTGTAAAAATGAAACATTTCTTTATAACTATACTCAATGTGTCTTATGTTGAGAAAAATTATCAACTGCCTGAAAATGGGAAAAGCAGTCTGTAGGTGTGCAGTGATGCCACCGTGTGGCGACACCAGACTTGGCATTTTCTAGCGGGCCCTCCAGGGTTATTTGATTCTGTAGGAAGGTACACCTTCAACAGATTTCTATTGACTAAGCTACTTTATAACTCTGTAGGGACAGATGTTAACTTGTAGGAAACTGAGTCCACAATGCAAATGGATCTTGGCTAGTAGAAATACAACTGATTAAACTCTATAGGAAAGATAACCCAAGCGTTACATTTTGTTGCCCTAAAGGGTATAGTTTCATATATAGGTAAATTTATTTCAGCATTTGTGTATATTAAAGCTGTTCTACTTCTCCCTTTGAACTTGTCTAACATCTTACGGGTTCTTTCATTAATGAGTTGAATAAAATCTTTGACATGTTCATTTTATATTTGAGAATTTTTTAACTCTTTGAAAATACTTTAGCAGTTTACCACTGTAAAAAACTTAAACTTTCCAATTAGAACTGTCACTTTTGTTTTGGAATGTGGTAGATATAGGAATGTTAATTTAGTCATATCAAGATTCTCTTCCTTCCTTATATCCTTCAGGTTGATCTTTCCTGATGGGCACATATACATATGTTTACAGCATTGATGGAAGAGGAATTTGGTCACAATGTTTACCACTGTTGTGTGTCCTGCGTGGTGTATTGCAGGGTGGTGTATTGGCTTTGAGCCAAATGCTGCCCAACATTTGTGCGGTACACATAATACATCACCTCATTCAATTATAGTCTTGTCTATGGCTGCATTCATACTACAATAGCAGTGTATTAAGTACAAGTAGTTTTAACAGAGATGTCATGGTCCATAAAGCCTAAAATATGTACTGTCTCACCCAGGATATGCAGTTTGCTGAGCCCTTGTATTAAGTTTGCTAGAGTTGCCATAACAAGTATGACAAAGGCAGTTTTATGGTCTCCAGTTCTGAGGCTAGAAGTCTGAAATAAAGATACCAATATGGTTGGTGCCTTCTAAAGGCTGAGGGAGAATGTTTACACGTCTGCTGGCAATCGTTGGTGTTCCTTGGCTTCTGGAAGCATCACCATGATCTCTGTCTTCATTTTCACATGGTGCCCTCTCGTCAGTCTTCCCTAAGAATGTCTGTATCTGTGTCCAAATACCCCATTTTTATTAGGACACCAATCGTATGAATTAGGGACCACCTTCATGACCTCATGGTAACTTGACTACATTTGCAAAGACCCTATTTTTTCCCAAATAAGGTCACATTTTTAAGTACTGGAGGTTAGGACTTCAAATCTGTTTTAGGGGAAACAATTCAATCCATTGCCCTTATTTTTGATCCTGCAATAGGTTCTTGCCTATGGGCACACATGGTTTTGCTCGTCCTTTTACCCACCCTGGCACGTTATAGTATCTGACTCTTAAGAGCTAGAGTGAAAAGTATGATCAGTAACCAATGAAGGACTATCATCTTTCAAATCTCATATTTAAATTCCTCTTAGTCTTTTTGTAAGGCAGTTCAATTCTGACAATTTAATGAAACTGTCCAGTAAAATTAGGAAAATGTTAAAAATGTTGACATAAATCCATAAAAATTTCTTCCAAATATCAGTTTTTCCAATCCAGGATAAAAGGTATACATTAGATAAGTTTGATTTAGAGGCAAATGGGATCAGAGTGTTAGAAGTTTAAGTTATATGTGGAATTACATAAGAAATCTGTGTAAATGAACAAATTCAACCTCTTCATTTGACAAATAAACTGAACTCAAGAGAAGGGAATTATTTAATGTTATTCAGCTCACTAGTAGGACATTTACAACTAAATTCTAGCTGTTTTGATTTGTTCTAGCTCTCACACTACACTGTATTTTGAATGAATCATTGCCAATTCTAGACTTGACTTAAAGGAATTAGATATAATTTATCTAAAAACTTTATTTTTTTGCTAAGCTTTGTGACTATGTACTACTTGCTATTATTTTTTATTATGAACTATTTTATTATGTACTAATATGTAGTTATACATAATTTTTGGTAGAATAAGACAAATATCAGAGAAAACATTAAAAACTGAAACATTACCAAACATTTTTTTCCAATGACCATCTTCTGGTTTAAATACACACACCTAGGGACTGAGTAAATTAACCATTTTTTACTAAGAATGGGTTTGAGTACTTTTAAATATATATACATGCCCTGGTAACCCTTACCTGGAGCAGTTCTTTTGGAATTATTAGGGTACAGCTCTAGAGAGCCTGGCCGTGACAGAGGTACGATGGAAAAAGTCTCTGAATATGTCCACTCACTGAGGAATTTCTGGTTTTCAGCAATTAGTAAACTTCATTTTCCCTACCCACATTTATCACAATTATCTTTCTCTAATTAAAAAAATTAAAATGTGGTAAAATACATAAAACTTGCCATTTAACAATTTTAAGTGTACAGTGGTATTATATTCACATTGTTGTGCAACTAACACCATTACCAATCTCCAGACTGTTTTCACCTTCTAAAACTGAAACTGTACTCATATAACAGTAATTTCCCATTTCCCCTACACCAAACCCTGGCATTCACCATTCTACTCTAAGTCTCCATGAATTTGACTACTCTAGGTACTTCATGTAAGTGGAATCATGCAATGCAATATTTTTCCTTTTGAAAATACGGAACACTTCACAAATTTGCATGTCATTCTTGGCGTAGGTGCCATTCTAACCTCTATAGTGTTTCAAATTAAGTTTGTGCTACTAAAATGAGTACTTTCTCTAACTTTAACATTACTAACTGCTCAAAAATGTTGAAATACTATTTCTATTAACACATATAACTACAACTGGCTTGGAAATGACAAGCATTTACTTTTCTGGGTGTGCCCTGTCTCACCTCTTTTTTACTCCTATGATATAAAAGGAGAAAGTGTTCCTAAGTTTCTTTCAGGCCAGAAATATATTCTATTTAATATCTACTTTGAAACCTCCTTCTAGTTAACTCTTTCCCTTCCCAGTGAAGTTTATACCTGCTTGACATTTTGGTAATTTTTGTTGGCGAGTTTAATGTAAGCTTTGGTTAGTTACTGTGTTTCCATTACTGTTTTGTATCCTATGTGCTATATTTTGTAGGCCTTGAGGATTTGCTCTTCTGTAAATCAAATGAAAGAAATAAATGGTGCTTTATATGGACCGCAAGGCAAATTGGTATTGTTGTGAGTTAACTATGACCTGCCCTAAAAACAGTCCTTCTCCCCACTGAGAAATACTATTATTTAGTCTTTCTATTCTGTTTTTACAGGCTGCTCAAGAAAAAGAAGAACTTCAAAAGGAAGGTGACAGTTTGGATGCTAAGATCAACAAAGCTGAAAAAGAAATATATGCTCTAGAAAACACCTTACAAGTGCTGAATAGTTGTAACAACAATTTCAAACAATCTTTTAAAAAAGTGACACCATCTAGTATGTAGGAGTTAACATTTTAATGAATATATGCAATGAAAACTTTAGTTATTTGTTTTTAAAAAAGGAACACTGAGCAATGGCAAACAAAAGTGAACTTGTTTGATTGAGTCAGAAAAACCACCCCCTTTTAAAATAAGTGCTAAAGTGTTATTTCCATTATTACTAGTAGTTCTAATGATACAACATATCACTTCTCTAGGGGATTAATTTCAAATCCACAGAAAATAGCACATTAGCTTCCCTGTGTTGACTAAACAAGAGTGGCTGCTACATATGCCCATACTGTTTTTCAACAAGTAGACATAGGAATTTAACCTTTTCATAAGAAGAAATGTTAGAAATTTAATATATGTAAGATTTTAAGATTGATTTCTACAGAACATCTTAAAAATTTAAACTACAAATTGCCTAAATTTTAGGTGATGAGTATGGACAAAAAATCCAACTAGAAGAACAGAAAAGAGCTGCTGATGAAAAATACAGATACAAACAAAGACAAATTAGAGAGCTACAGGAAGACATCCAGGTAATTCTACAGGCTTTAGTAATAAGCCCTTAGTAGAAATAAACTAATATTATGTCTATTTTCTTACCCCATAATTTTTTTTAGAGAAATAGATGAGATGTCTCATTAAAATGAGGAAAAAAGTGATTAAAAGCATTAAAAGAGCTAAAATCCCTGTGTTAAACACAGGATGGACTCTGAATCATCACTTGTTAGTTGTTGAATCATTCATTGCTAGTTAATTATGATCTATTCCTCTATCTTTTATTTAATGTACTCTTATTTTCATTTAATTCCTTAAAGATTGTTTCATAAAACAAAAATTCAAAAGATAAAAATAATCTAGTACACAGAAGGTGCTAAAGCACATTACTGAAGGAGAAAACAATGTACTTGGTAAGCAGGCTCTACATACAATTCAGATTTATTTTTTTTGCTAATAAAGTTGAAGGAATAGATGAATTGTGAATCTCTGAAAACTGCATGCATGTTTTCAATAGTTATTAAATTATTTATTTTTCCAAGTACCATAAAAATACTTTCCAGTAGAATTACATACAAAATTTAGTTTTAAAGTCATTATATATATTATTTACCAGCAGAATATGTTATATACAAAAGTAAATGAATCAAGATTAAATGAATATTTGACAAATAGCAAGTTATGTTACTTTTGATTCTAATTAATAAATATTTTAATAATTTTTTTTCCTGCAGACCATGGGAAATACTTTAGAAATTATAGATCATTTAACACATAATGGCAAAGAAAAATTATCAGAGAAGCAGGCTTATTCACTTCAACTAAGTAAAGAAATTGAGGAGCAGAAGCCAAAATTAGAGAGAGTAACTAAACAGGTATTGATATTTAAAAAAAAATCTGACCTGTCATATTTACATTTTTTTGAAGTTCCAAATGGTAAACCCAAATCCTTTCATCCATGAAAAAACATTAAGTTCTGGAAAACAAGTTTAAGTAATAATTGACTACTGTTGACCAACAGTGTGCAAAACTCATCAAAGAGATCCGTCTTTTGAAAGAAACAAAAGAGGAAACACTAGAAGAAGGAGACATCAAACTTCGCGAACTGAAACAGTTTCACCAGGTCATTGATGGAATGCTAGCTGATGTCACAGCAAATGCCGAGATCCATATTATCCTTCAAACATACTTTCAACAGGTAGTCACTGTACCTTCTAGTTAGAAGTGTTTCTTAAACACTTCATGAAAATAATCTATGGCATTCATCAGAGTGAAATCTAATCACAAATATTCTTCTAAAACGCAGTGGTACTAATGACTGCTATTGAATGTACTTTCAGAAAGGTCTGGAACTCCCTACAGCTAGTACCAAACACGGGAGCCAGAGATCTCCTTCACAGGCTTCACTACTGTCACTAAGGTAAGTGGAAGGTTAAACCACCGCGTCCTCCGCGCACCCAGCCACTCCCACATGGCCACCGCGGTTGGATCTGCCAGCGCTCTCCTCCTCACCCACCTGCCGAGGTCAGTGTCACAGATGCAGGCACAGCCAGCAGGGCAACTTGCTTTCCAACCTCTTTCCATTACTGCAGAGTGCTTTGTGACTACCTGCTATTTCAGTAGGGTAGAGCAGGGTGAAATTTTAGAGGCAACTTAGATGTAGAGATATGAAGTATATTATTAAAACCACACTGCAAAATTTTAAATACTCAGGATTTGATTTGTGTTGATTTAATTTGCTAAACAGGAAATTACTCTTTACTTCCAGTTTAGTGTTATCTAGAATTCTATCATCAGGGATGTTCAATCAACACTCTTATGCTTTGCTGACAAAATAAAATTAACAATGATCCTAACTTTTAAATTTCCAATCTCCTACCTTCAGCAGCCACTTAGTTTTCATTAGTCCATGTAGGGATTTCACAAAGACAAAGGAATGTACTAAAAAGTGGGGTTTAAATAAAAAGAACTGTTTTTACATAAACTTGGTGGGCAGCCACTTGAACATCCCTATAACATCATATATATATATATATAAAATTTCTCACCTGAGGGTATCTTTATTGATTTGAGAAGAAGAAAAATGACTAGATGCCTCTTGCAACCTAGGTATGTGCCCTGACCAGGAATCAAGCATGCCACCTTTTGGTGTATGAGACACTTTAACCAACTGAGTTACCCAGCCACGTGCATGTAATTTACAATTATATACAAAAATATATTTTGTAAATTCTCACCAGAGGATATTTTTTACAGATTTTTTAGAGTGGAAGGGAGGGAGGTGAGAGAGACACACTGATCGGTTGCCTCCTGCACATGCCCCAACCAGGGCCAGGGATCGAAACTGTAACCTAGGTATGTGCCCTTGACCAGGAATCAAGTCTGAGACCCTTCAGTGTACAGGCCGGTGCTCTAACCACTAAGCCACATCTGTCAGGGCTATATTTTTAAACTTAGCATTTCAGAATTATGTAGCTAGTAATGATTTTCAAATGATCCCACCAGGACACTCACTTTCTTCTCTTATATAACCTATCATTTACTCACTTTGCCAGCACCCATATGCCCATGCCTTTTTGTTACCTTTTGTTTAATGAATTCTGCAAATCTTTAAGTTAATTATAGTTGAAAACATTTTTCTTTATAATTTATATTTGTTAAACTATTTTTTTTTGCTGGTTTGAAACTATTATGTTCATTACCTTTTCCTTAAAAAAACTAATTTCTTGATATTAAAGGTCATGCTTTAAAATTTATTATTAATACTATTAAAACTTTTTGCTCTCTTTAGTTGTGTGATTATGGTATCTTTCACTATTAATGAGGGGGTCTTTATTAAAGTATAAATTTTGAATTAAATTTATAATAACTTTGTATTTTCTTCTAGGTCATCTAGGAGTTCTGCTTCTCAGACTTCACTGAACATATTAGAGCTAACCTTCCCACCCTCTTCTTCACCATCTGGCAGCACTTTTAGGTCAACTAGTTCTAGCAGTAGTAGTGCCAGTAGTTCCAGTAATGATAAAAACAAAAAGAGCAGCAAGTAAACATTTTAATCTCTCTGAACAAACTATAAACAAAATAACCCAAATTTCACTTTTAAAATAGTAAATTTCACTTTATACTTTTGGGTGCTGTATAATGATATAGAGTCCTATTGAAATAGTGTGGAAAATGAAATGACCAGACAAGTTTTATCAGTGAAAAATGTGAAAAATGGTAGTTTAAAAAAAGTCAAGCCAAAGAAATGTTTAACTTTCTTATCCTTTTCCTATTATCTTCTTCACATATTATACCTGATTTTAACAAGGTTATATATTACACAAGTGTAGGGAAAACTGTGTTTTCCACTGTTATTTTTATGTCTGTTATAACAGAAAATAGTTGACTTTATTATTTCACACTAGCCATGCAACTATGTTCACTTAGAATCTTTTAGGAAGATATGTTTAAAGATGAAGACTTCTAACACTACTAAAATTTTCACTTATCCTAAAAGATCCTGAAATTAAGTTTTCTTTATTCAAAGGAATATACTTCCCAGACTTTTGGGGAGAAATGTTAGTTTATTCTTTGAAATAATTTTAAAAATGTTAACCAAAATATAGCATTACCCTCACCCCTCCACCAAGAAAGCAATTGCTAGGAAAGAGAAACAATGCATATCAATAAAAATGCAGCTCAAATTTTTAAGAATTTAAATTTAAGAATCAGTCTACTTTGATCTTGAAAGAAGTCAAACACATTAATAATTTTGCTCTCAAGATAGACAACCAAGCATAAAGAACAAGAGTGTACTTTCAAAATTTTCTTGAATTAATAAACAATATAAATATTTACAATTGTCATTGTTTAGAACTGTCATTGAAAGGCAGTAGTGATATTAAATGTTTGGCTGAAACATTGTTCTAAAGTGTGAGATTTTATTTAATAAGACCTAAAACTGATTAATCTTATAGTCACTTTGTTCTTATTCTCTGCCTTATATTACTTTGTAAGTTATTTGGAACTTGAAATATTCCACACGGTTCTATGAAGGCAGGGGTTGTATCTTACTAGCTCTGTGACCTTGGAAAAGGTCTATGCTTCTTTCATTTGTAATATAGGGACAGTAATAGTTACCTACGCAAAACATTTACAAAAATAACGGAATATATACAAAATGCACATGGCCTGACATAGGAACTGCACAGGGACTTCTATCCATTGAGTTACCACCCAGATCCTAGCACAGTATTTGTGGAATGGTTAGGCTCTCTGGCCAGAATAGAAGTCTACATTTAACTGTGAAAGTAACAGTTCCAACTTCAGTGTAGTAATGCTAAATGATGAGACAAGGGATTAACCCCATTATCTCCTCATCTGGAATTATCTTAACATCCACCTATTGTAAGAAAGTCAACTATCATTTATTATGGAAACCAAGATACAGCCAGTGTACGTATAAACTATAGACATGAGGTTATGGCAAAAAACTGAAGGTATCATTAGGGATTCTTGACAAGTGTGTCCACAATATTTTTTATTATGATGGGTTTCCTGAACACATCCTTGGAAAATGGAGTGTGTACTCTGCTTAAGTGTACTATGTCCAAGGAAAGAAGCTCTGGAGAAGATGGACTTTCTAAATCCAGGCAGGCTATTGTACAAGGTACTAACCCTGATTTTTTTTTTTTTTTTTTGGTACCTAAATGTTAGCTTAAGCCACAAAAATGCTTTATAAAATTACAGTACTTATTGATGGTGATGCTCAAGACAATCTACACGAATAAAAGAAAAAAGATGCTAATTGACCATACCTTCACTACGCCCATCAGCCAATCAGAAGAGTATGCAAATTAACCCAACAAAGATGGCCGTTAAATTTGCATACTGCAGGCAGGGCGGGGCAGTGCCATCCGCCGCCCGCCCCAACCCCGGGATTGGGCCTGTCGTGTGCACAAACTGGGGCAGTGCCCCAACCCCGGGATCGGGCCTGCCGTGTGCGTGACCCGGGGTGGTGGGTTGGGGCAGCACCATCCACTGCCTGCCACAACCCCAGGATCGGGCCTGCTGTGTGTGCGAGCCGGGGCGGTGGGTCGGGGCAGCACCATCCGCCGCCCGCCCCAACCCTGGGATTGGGCCTGCCCTGTGCAACCCCGGGGGAGGCGGGGCAGGGCACCGCGGGATCGGGCCTGCCATCTGCCACCCGAGGGAGTGGGCCTAAGCCCAGCAGGTGGTTATCTCCCGAGGGGTCCCCAGACTGTGGAGAGGGCACAGGGTCCGGGCTGGAGGGGACCCCCCCCCCCCCCCTGCCAGGTGCACAAAATTATTGTGCACCGGGCCTTCTAGTTTTTAAATAAAAAAAAATTTGTTCACTCGGGGGGGGAGGGGGGTTCCCTTCT